TCCGCTGCCCTATCGATTCCAGCATTTGCTGTTACGACTGAAGCAATATCTATCCCAACCATTTCTCCTTTTCAATTGACTGCATATCAAAGGCGCCAAACAGCCTAGCTTTCAGCATGTCATAAGCGCCAAATAAAATCTTGCGATACCACCGTATCAAATTTTTTAAAAGCGCTAAATAGAATACAAGACGAATACATGTATACAACGTGTATCTTAGCATTAATTTTGAAGTGGAAGTGCACTAAACTGTAAGCACTTGATGAAATTCAATAAGGAAGATGAACGTAGCTTAAGTTACATGACACTTATTTAATTGAAAAGTCGCAAATTGCAGAACCTCGGACGAGAATTACAGCCAGACGATGTATTTTTGGATATTGATCGACCTATATAGATATATGGAATAGACGTTATGTTTCCGTACAGAGTTATAGAATAGTTTTTTTAAGAATTCTGTAGTCTGAAAAGGATGTAAATTCCATCTTTGACAAAGTTGGTATCCGCGAATCATGACATGTAGACTTGCATCTTTGTATTGAGAGAATACCGTCGAGGGCCGTGGTTAAAAGGGTTTTTTGGTTTGTCTTATTTGCAATCAGATAAAGTATAGAGTGCTTTTCTTATACTGACATCTATTGTTTTTCTGTTCCAATTATAAATGAATAGACATAGTAAAAGTATGTTTCCAAGTAAGTGAAAGTGTGTTTTTAATATTGACAGTACTATGACAATTTGAATTAACTTCGAAGCAATACGTAATCAAATTATGTCTTTTATTCATGAATATTTGTCTTGTTTATGTATCTGAATATGTCATTTTTTGAAAAAAATTAACCACTTTTACTATTCATAGCTTATTTATTTGTTTCTCCAAAAATAAATCGCCAAAAAAATGGACGTCTTTACGCCACAATCTGACCTGCTGCAATTTTTCCAACTGTTTTTTAAAAATAAAGGTTTATTTTACGATAACTGTTTCTCTGGTCATGCCTTATCTGTATCGTTGGATTAGTGGCCAAGTTGAGCTAGGTATTGTTTTTATGGTGGGTGCTTACTTTTTTGAGCTTAATTCTTGAGTAGTGAATAAGTTTAAATTTTAATACAAACGGTAACGAACTTTATTTTCTACTTTTTCGTTAAGGGTATGGCTGGTATATGATATTAATTATACGGTCCTTCCTTAAACCCATAAAACCCCAAACTAAAATAAAATGTAACAAAGAGGAGAAAATACTTTGGATCTCCACAACTCATAAGGTTTTTGAAGTTCTGTGAGAGTTGCGTCTGATAACCTTGGTCCTTAGCTTTTGATCAACATTGACTACTTACCTCTTAACTTCGTGATGAAAAATCATAGATATGAAGTGAAGATTACTAGTACAATGTATTTCTATAAGTTCATTTAAGTGTATATCGTTTAAATTAAAATATCTCAACAGCAATATGGGGAGAATCACGTCAACTGTCCCAGCTCCGCGGTGGACGGCCCGCGCGGGCGTCAAACACGACGTTTTCAACTCGTCGTTTCGGTGTCAAAACTTTAATAAAAAAATTATCTAAAAACATAACGTTGCGTATTTTTTCCTCAGCTTTCCAGTGGTGGCATCAGTTTTTAAAAAATTTGCTCCCATAACCTCGAAAAATGCACTTGTTTGAAAAACACGTTTTATCTCCATGATCTTCAACTTTTGGAATTTTTTTGATAGTCTAGATCGAAAGATGAGACATTTTTACGTAGATATGGACAGTAAAAAAAGAGGGGTTTTTCGTTTTTATAACGTATTTAAACGACGAACGAGACGATGCGAGCCGCGGCGGCCTGGCCATGCGCGACAGGAGCGCGCCGTCTGCTACCGTCTCTCTGACTGGATGTAAGAAAATACACCTAACCGTGACGGTTTGCACTTTGCAACAAGTTTCGATTGATTAATTAAATATTAGTATTTAATATTTTTATGACTTGAGGTTGTGCTATCGTAAGTCGAAGTTTTCGTAGGTTTTACTGCAAAGAAACGAAGGTTTTTTTAGTAGCAAATCTGACTACGAAGAAGCTTCCTTGAGATTAAAAGACAAAATTTCCAGTGCGAAACTGATTCCAGGGACACTGAATTATCATGCGTTTAATCCCATTAAGGATAATAAATTAATGTTGAAGAAAACTTCTTTGAGTAACCAGTATGAAATTTTTCCGAAACTGAAAGAACGTTAAACAAGTGTCACTTCGATTACCATGCCTAAAAAGAAAAAGAGAACGAAGTAAAACAAATTTGTTTTTATTTTTTACTTTATTTATGTAAATATCTAATATTTAATCAATATTAATCATTATTTATTTCTTTATTATAAAATTGTTGTATATATGAATAAATTTTATCAAAACATTTATTATTTATCCATTGTAAGCCCTGGTTAACTAATTATTGTTTACATTGCCACAACTACATTATATATTATATAGCCAAACAGACTCACCGTAGCAGACGACACACGGAGGACGCGCTGCTGCCACACGTGGCCCGGCCGCCGCGGCTCGCATCGTCTCGTTCGTCGTTTAAATACGTTATAAAAACGAAAAACCTCTCTTTTTTTACTGTCGATATCAACGTGAAAATGTCTCATCTTTTGATCTAGACTTTAAAAAAAATTCCAAAAGTTGAAGATTATGGAGATAAAACGTGTTTTCCAAACAAGTGCATTTTTCGAGGTTATGGGAGAAAATTTTCTAAAAACTGATGCCACTACTGGAAAGCTGAGGAAAAAATACTTAAGAATATGTTTTTAGATAATTTTTTTATCAAAGTTTTGACACCGAAACGACAAGTTGAAAACGTCGTGTTTGACGCCCGCGCGGGCCGTCCACCGCGGCGCTGGGACAGTTGACGTGATTCTCCCCATATATGTGTAAAAATGAAAAAAAATACAAGGTTTTTTTAGTCAGTTTTTTATGACTGAGATTTAAAAGTCTAAGCCCTTAGAAAAGTTATAAGCTAAGAAGAAGCCTAAGACCTCAGGTAAAACCTGATTAAATAAGATATTGTACAAATAATATTTTAGAAAAAGTGTGTTTTAATGCTGTGTTCAAATATATTACATTTGCCTTTTAAGTTAATTTTTAACTGAAATAATAAATTATAAAATAAATAAGATTCTGAAAACGCAATAGGCATAGGCGTCCCACAATCTAAAATCTTATTTTTCTACTTCAGACGATTTATTTTTACATTTTGACGTTAACTGCACCCTTTATATAAAAATAGTGTTTGATACATTGGTGCTACTGAACCCCAGTTATTCTATAAATTCTTAGACCCTACTTTATCGGTTTCTTTAGCCACGCAACAGCCCTAATGGTGATTGCAAAAGTGGTTCTGTGACAAAAAAAATTTTTTTACCATTAGCAATGCTGAGTCATAATTTTACTCTTTTTTAACTTTTTTCTTTGATTGGTTCTTAAGACGATTGCACTTTGCACCCTTACACTGAGAAAAAAAACAGTGAGCGTAACTATTATTATTCCATAACAGCTACTACACAACTTTAAAGAAGGTTTACTAACGGTGTGTAGCAAATTCAACTACACGCTATACTTAGAAGCACGCAATGCCGAATAAGAAACAAACATTTGTATGTATATGTATACGAACCAAGGAAAGACTACTGCATGAGCTGTGTCGACAACCACGCAAAAAATTTCTTATTTGTTAACTGTCACAATTAATTTGCTTTAACCCCCATCAAAATCGCCATTTTTTCTTAATTTACACAGTGTCATCAATGCAACGTTTTACACAAAAAAAAAAAATACTTTTGAGGTTAAAAATTTTTTTAACTTGTTTTCGCTTTTTCCGGTATAAAGTATAAAGAAATTTTGTTTACATTTTGGTCCCAACAAAAGATCTCCTTTATATTTCTCATTTTATGTATATAATTAGTACCATTAATTGGTTTTTAACTGAAAAGTAACTACTCTACACTTCGTAGAAGAAACTACTACACAGAGTTAGCCAACGTTACTCCAACCCCCTTACTACAGTTACGTAGTAGCAACAACCGAACATTAACGTAGACTTTACTACTTTTTTCTCTCAGTGTACATAACTTTGTGCAAACGGGTTAAAAAGTACATTTTGGGTCCTTTAAAGCCCAAAGTACTTTTTCACCCTAGAGTACGAAGCGGTTAGTGGGCACAAAAATTGCCCTCAGAAAGAATAACGTTACCAACCTCTTGACCACAAATATACCAGAATGTGGCCTCATTTAGAAAAGTTCGTATACTTACTGCTCATGGTGTTAAAACACCTGAATTTTCTTTCACTATCAATCATATATATATTAAAAACATAACTGTCATTATGTTTGTTCGCTTAATGTTAGTACTAAATGCCTTTCAAGTTCGTTTATTAATGCTTTTAAAGTAAAGTACAAATTTGGCCAGAATGCGAGTATTTTAGACACTGTATTTAGATTCAGCATATGAAAAAAATTAGAAGTCCATGCTTAATTATGTAATTCCTGAAGCTTTTTATAGTTTTGTCTCTAAAAAAGTTTTGTCTAAGCTTCTTAAGAGATCACTTATTGTAAGGCAAATTGACAGATTTCTTATAATTAATTTTAGTAGTTTTAAATACAACTCATGTTGTAAACAGTTTCATTGTCTAACATCATAAGCAATCGTAAATTAAATGAACCTCGTTTTTTATTTTTTTTTAGGGGAAGACACGGTCCATAACTAAATAAGTCAATGTTGTATAAGGTCACTAAGAATATAAGTAGAAAACACGCCTCTTTTTAATTTGCTGATAGAAACAACTGTAATGTATGAAATTATTTTAATAACAAGGATGATTGGCCCTTTTATTTGTTAATCATTGTTTAAAAAGACTGCATAGATTTTAAGACAAAAAAAAAAAAAAAACTCAGAATGGCCAATAAATTATAAAGCTTCTTACCAACTAATTCATTTTTTAATACTTTCTATAATTTACGATAGCAAATACCTTATTATTCTAGTTGATCGAATTTCATAGGCTGATTTAGAGTTAGGCTTAGTTGCAGAGTCCAGCAAACAACTAAGTGCTACTCTTCGAAAGATACTACCATGAGCCTCCTTTACATAGTTTATAAACTGTCTTAAATCGCAATATAACGATACAGTATTTTGAGACTTTAAATTTGTAGACATTTCTACACAACGAGTGACTATCGTCTTAAATACACATTCAATTATTTGTGATTCAACGTTAGTATGTCTTTCATTTGTGGTAGTAACATGACTGATTACTGTATTTGTTTCCTGACAGGCTGAGTTAGTACTACAGTGACTTGTTCTTCCTATTGCTGAATTATTTGTATGAGCTATACTTCCAATAAGTCCAAGTCCAAAGTTAGTAGCGTAATAGCTTTGGGTTGTTGCATCAGAGAATTTACTTGAACCTCGTTTTTGGTCTGTACAGTTGGAAACAAATTATCATACAAGATCGATGTAACAATTAAAAAAAATAAAAGTTAACAACACTCACTCAACATTCTCTCAATTTAGACACTAATATGCGTTGTATACTTACTTAAAGGTGATTGTAGATAACATGAATCTCTACAAAATCCAACATAACAATGAAAAAAGTCAACCCAACTCGTTACAGATCTCTCTCTGACCATCTGACGAAAGAAATTCGAAAATTGTTTAGAGCTTACTTTTTGAAGTTTACTTAAAATTATTTGGATTTGAGATCGGCAAAAATCAGCTTGTGGTCCTCGAATACTTTCTAAGCAACCAGAACAGTAAGAACATCCCAAGTGAGACGTTATTTTAACAACACAATCCATAAGAAGAGTATATAAACTTATCTTATAATTCTCATTTTGCAGATATTTACTAGTTGAGTCAAACTTCTGATTCATCCTATCACGTGAGTCACTTGGTTCTACAAGAAATAAGCACATCGTTTAAAATATAGTCATTTATTTTTAAGTTTAAAATTTTTTTTAATATGTACCTGTTTTTTTGCCTTTTCCTCCGTACTTCCATTGTTTCAAAATCCCAATTTCAAGTAAAAGTCCTATAAATTTTAGAATCAATTCACAAACTCGTAAGGTACAGTTGACACTATCTTTCAATGTTACAGCATGAATGGCCTATTGCAAAGCAAATTTTAATTATTATTGTTATGCGTTATTAAAGAATATACACTCGTTTGTATTGATAATTATACCTTTATAATTACTGAATAATTAATTTCACCATTCTTTGTTATATAGCATCCAGATCCAGGAGCTTCGTATATTTTATGATCTGAGTATGTAATATTTGAGTCCGTCGCAGATCTTGCAAGTGTTGGATATCTTTTAATTGGTTGATGTTTCTGACCATCATTTATTAAGTCATTATTTATCGGATCCTTAATGCCATAAAAACAAATAAGAAATATTATTATACGCGCACCCTAAGAAAAGAATAATGAGATTATGTCATAATAAAAGTAGACAGTATAGTGTTGTTGATTAAATTAAAACAGTTTCTTTATTTACTAGAAGTCTTAAGGTCTCCATTGGTGATGAAAGATCAAATTATTTACCTAGTTATATTAATTGTAATTTATTCTAATAAAAAAAAAAAAGATCATTGGTTATTCCTTAAAAAATAAGAACGTTTCTTACTTCTACTGGCAAGTGTCACATAATTTTGTCTCATTCCAAGCAATCACTTGTTGTTGAAAAACTATATCAAAAGTCAATAACATTATGAGAATAAGAGAATGTATTATACAATAGGGAAACGAATTATCGAGCTTCTGATTTTGATGATCGCCTGATTCTATTAAAAATTTAGTGTTATCTTCTTGTCATCTTTAAAAAAGAATACACTTATGGTAATATTAAAAGGTGACAGCTAGCCATCAGGGTGCTTCGTAGTCCCACAGATGCTATGTTCAATCAGAAAAGACTGGAACCGATTGAAGACAAGATTTAAGAAAATTCTTTTTCTGCAAACAGATTTTACACTCAAAATAACAATATGACATATGACACACTCTAAATTTATAGCTTTTAGTAAAGTCGCAATCAATGGACAAAAAAATCTTAGCTGTGCAGCTTGCTAATTCAAGCAAGGATACGTAAAAGATGCATACAAATTCTTGTCCAAAACAAGGAGGTAGTTTTTAGAGGGAAGATACAGTGAAAATTCTTTCAACCTTTAATATTATGACAAAGATTGTACAAGCTTTACGAAGCTAAAGGTTGGAGGTAGATGAGTAATTTTACTGCTAAAAGTAAACAAAAATAAATAAGGTATAAAAATATAAATTAACATCTTACGCAGCCTAATTTGGAACATATGACTGAAAGTTCACTAAAATTGTAGTAGACAAGTACGGAGAGTAGACATACAAAATAATAACACTAAGACAATGGTTTTCTGATGAAATAATCTTAGATAGTTTTTATAAAGAGTAAAAAAAAAAAAAAATTCTACAGTCTTGCAACAAAGCGCTTGTTTTAACAGTTATTTTGTGATTATTGTTAGCAAAAAATGTTTGTAGTTTACAAGTAGTTTGACGATCGTTTACGGTTAATCATGAATATTAGCCATAAAATGATGATTCAGCTAAATAGATTACGAACGGGTAACGTTAAGTAAGGAAACTTTTAAATTAAAGAGACTCATGTTTATGTGAAATGGTCATAAGTTTTCTAATATCTTGGTTGTTACCTTAATAAGTCTTGACAATCGAAATAGGCTAAAAGGATTAAATGCATGAAGCATTTAGATAATGGATTAAAGTTACAAAATTCTTCAGTACGATATGAGGTGGTTTTATCTGTTTAGTTGTTATAATTATGAGGCACTATAAATGTAGACCATATAGTGAGGACCAAAAATTTGCTTTAACAACTTCGAGAAACATTAAGTCTTTCAAGAGACTTTGTTAAAAAAGTGTAACGAAATGCGTCTGTTCATGTACAAAAACTTTAAAGGAAAAAATATGATGTTTAGATCAGTATTATTCAACTTAAGTTTTTTTGTGTGTAGACGGGGGTCTTTATTTAAAATTTAAGCAGAGAAATTTTTAAAATAAAGATCTTACTGGGAATGTGCTAGATAGTTTAATCCATAACATTAGTTAAAAAAGCTCTAGTGCTGCTATAAACGGCAGTGAAGAGATCCAAGAGAGCTGTTTTTAAGATCTACATTTAACAACAATTATTTTTATACTTAAGATATGTTTTTCTCATGTCCTCACAATACTCAATGAATACATCAGCTGCTAAATAAAGAGTTGCTGGTTTTTCTCTATGGCAGCTTATAAAAGAAAAGACGCTGTAATCATTGCACCACAACTGTGCTCATGTTAACCAAGAGTAGTTAGGTTGATCTCTGATTAGTCGTTCAGATTCCAAACTTGACGCGTCCTTTCTAGGTGCAAGAGTCTAAATACTTATTGCACACAACAATACTTGCCTTTTCTCTTTTGTCAAGTGCTTCAAAATAACTATAAAGGTTGTAGAATGAGTTCTATTGCGTCTTTTAAGTAGATGTAAGACTCAGCTTGGTAATTAAACTACGTGTCAGAAGCGTGCATTTCAAGCAAATGGAAGACTTCAGTGACTAAGGTGTGTGAGAAAAGCTCAAGCAAACCAGGCCACTGTAAACTCACCTAAAAAGTGAATCAAGGAAAGATAAGAAGGAAAGGACTGTCGACTTGGGGTCCAACATTAAAAGCAGTAGCCTATTTATTGAGATCGTTATGAGTACTCTCATGTAGGATTAGGATCATTGTTGTGGTCAACAATATAAGATTTTGCTTGCTGCGTAAGCGCAAGCAGTGGTTAACTAATGATCATTAAAGTAAATTAAGCTAAGAAAACTATGAAATCTATAAACATTGTAAATGCAAATCTCAAATTTTATAATTTATATTATTTGTAAGATCAACTATTTCTGGCTTTTCTAAATTTATTAAATCATTAGATAAGACATAACTTATTTGTAAAAAAAATTTACTTTCTTAATCTGAACATATTCCAGTAACTAAATTATATGAAATAGTCCAGGACTCAAGGTCCTAATTGATAGACACATTATTCTTACTTTGATAAGTGAATTTAATATCAAGGATAATTTAAATAGACAATGGATGACAGAAATTCTTTTAAGGCAGTGAGATAAGAAATATTAGATACGCTGTTACTGCATTACACAAAATATCAAACATTAGGTCAACGCAAGCTCGTGTATGACACCCTAACATTACTGCACGCATATCATTTTATGAAACCTAACACCAAAACACCGAGTAAATAATGTAAAAAAACAAATATTGTTAAAAAAAGCAAAAATAGCCTTTAGGCCGACGGCGATGGCTGGTTCTTGGCAAACAAAAATTAAATTTATTTGTTTGTAGATTTAATCTATGAGTTTCACTTTTTACTCATAAAAGTTTAGACGTAACAAATTGGTCTTTTGTTCTACTTAAAATATGCCTCAATGAAATCGAGTTTTTTTTTTGTTTTTTGTTATTTTATTGCGTTCTAATTTTTTCTGAATTTCTATAATGTCTTTCTTTATCTATTAAAACGTTTTTTTATACTGAATCAAACACTTGAAAATACAAGCAAAGTAGCTGATGTTGTACCATAGGGCACAGGAAGCTGAAAAATCGCTTAAATTCCTTGAATTAACAGGTAACGTAGCTCTAAATAATTTAGCTTTACGTATGAATCAAGCTGTCTTGATTAGAACTGGTACATAGTTGCCAAATCATACCACTTAGAGATTTCTTGCAAGATATTGTAAATGGTAGGTCTCTCCTCTCAAATGTGGAAGAATCTCAAGTTCTTCAGAACAGTAATTTTCAGGCTGAAGTGTAGAGCAAGTAGTTGTTTCGACGGAATAACGATGAAAGGATCGACGATGTTATAAACCATTGAAAGGCACACTTTGCTCCTTCTAAAACTTACGCCCAGTACATTACCGACATTTATAATTCTCAGATGAAAGAGAGAGAAACTGTTCGTGATTTTCACAGGAAAATCTCTCAACTTTTGAATCATAGTACTAAAGCAGCAAAAATAAAGGGTTTTTATAACAACATTTCTAAACACCAACAGCCTGATTTTAAGTTATATCTAGAAATGGTTAGCCGTAAAGCTTCTATGCAGGGCCAATTGCAAATACGTACGTTACTATTACAACTCTAATGACAAAAAAATTTTCTCGACTACGTTTAATTCGGACGAAAAAATTGAGTTACACCTAGTTCTTTACCATCAAAATTATGATTCCACCGATTAATTTGTAAAATTGTTGGAAAAATCAAATGAAACGCAATCTTATCAACCTTTGAACGTCTCGTACAAAAATCATCGAAATTTTGGCCACACACAACCACTTCAACATCAAAATTAATTATTAGCCTATTTTAACTGCCCCTTTTACAAAAGTTTACTGCAGTGTGTATTTAGTAACTTATTTGCTTTTTCAATGGGGAGTTACCCCTGTACTTGCAAAAATGTTTAGACACCATGGGGATAGAATCTTTCAATAATTAACAAAATTTCAGACCAAATTTTTCTAAACCAGGCCATCTTTTAAACGGGAACGGTGCTTGTCACTCAGACGTAGCAGCAGGCAAAAATCTAAATCAGCGTCCATTGACGAATCAATTTGTGCTATCATCCGAGTGTCTGTCGCAAGAGACATTGGCAGTGCACTGACAGTAAGACTTAAAATTTTGCAATGAAATAAAAGTTAAGAGACTTTTATTATAGACACAGGAGTTGAAGTCAATGCTATAAAAATGTCTTTATTATTACCAAACGTTATAATAAATACTTATACAAATATTTTCTTTATTGGATTAACTTCTCAAAATGTCATTACATAAGAAATACTAACGTTAAATTTATTTTGAAAAGTCACGTTTTCCACGTCTTATCACAAGAAACATCTTTCAGTGAGGCAGAAATATTCAAAGATTTACTTGTAGCTCAAGAACAAGCTTGGCTTTGTAACGACATCAGAGCCTTGATACTAAAAAAAGACCCATAAGTCTCGTTTACTCATAGGACAAATTTTTATTAGAAGCAACGGAATGTGAGCTTAAACGGCTTGATACAGAGACAGAATATATAAG